AATAAAACATGCTTTGCCCTTCTGGTTTGCCAGCTATATTAAAATAAGTTACACTAAGCCTTAGTGAAATAGCATTACAAAGAACCCCATCTCTTTATATTTGACGTCGTTTCGTTTGTTCAAAATGACAGCCTTTGAATGAGACTTTTAAAGAAATGAAAGCTCTTTAAACCAACATTATTTATAAGAACTTTAATTATTAATTATAATAATTGCTTTTGAATTTAGAAGAAAAACGGGTTTGTTGAAAACTTTTAATTGTAAAAAGTGGTATAATGAAACTTGCTTTAGAAGTATTATACTACAGGGATAAAAAACAACACACGTATTTTACATGTGTTGTTTAACGAACTCCCACAATCTCCTAATTTCTTCACCTCCTACGTAAACGAAACTGAATAATAGATCGATAGCAGCCTGGCATAACTATGAAAATAAAACGTCTACTACTTCGTGACTTTTTCGTGGTGAGGATTTAAAATTACATCCCACAACAGCAAATTCAGATTAGAACGAAACGAGCAACGAAATTGGCGAGCAGACACCATCATCATCATTTCAGCCTGTTTGAGTCCACTGCTGAACATAGGCCTCCCCCACATATTGCCACGAAGTCGGCACAACGACATTTTTCCATTACTCCATTAGATATCTATTTGTGAGGTTTTATTCGCGCCGACATGTTAACGCACAAAGCCGTTAACGACGCGGAGATATGAAGTGGGCATGGTCGGAGTATTGGAAATAAACTCGAAAATTGGCACGTACACCATTGCTGTTATGAGCTAATAGAAATGTGCACTCGAATGTACGTCGCGAACTACTAATGCGTTATTTAAGCGCCACTCCACATCAAGTGTAGTCTGATGAAGCGATCGAAATGGATTTCTCTCGCTTTTGTACTCTTAATAATATCATGGCGGTTTATAAGCTCGGTTATAGGTACTATACTCATCATATTTAATGGGCAGCGATATATTCAACTAACGATGCTAAATGTTATTAATGATGTAATCATCGGCAGCATTTATTTGCCTTAGAATATATTTATTTAGTAAGGAATCGTCGTATCTTCTTTTTGTCCCTTTCAAAAATAAATGTAATCTAAATAGTAATAAACGCCTTAGATTCAAAATGAAGAACATCAGGTGAGAAGAAGAAGTAGACAATGGTCAAAACAATAATCAGATTTCTCAGCTAGTACATTCATTAGAACTAAAAGTTCAAACCGAAAGTCATCAAATCACATTTGAATTGTTAACTTCCTACCCCCAGTGTCTGTGTATTGTAATAAATATACACGACTAAAACAAATTAACAATCTTCGTATAAAACTTAGTTATTGCACACACTGAAGTTGACACAATATCATCCGTTTATTCTTGACACGAAAGCTATTATTCTTGGACTCAACGCAATATTTCTGCAGCGTCCAAGTTATTGGTTTTGCGGGTATAACTATATTACGATATTCCCTTGTCGTTCACATTGCATCAAAGTATTCTGTTCGCAAAGAAAAAATAATGCATCTGAATATGAAGTACTAGCTGCTGCCGGCGACTACGTCTACGTAGAATAGGCTGAAGGCGTAACATTCAGTCAGAAAGACATCTTATATATAAAAATGGATTGCTGTTCGTTAGTCTCGCTAAGACTCGAGAACGGCTGGACCGATTTGGCTAATTTTGGTCTTGAAATATTTGTAGCAGTGCAGGGAAGGTTTAAACGATGAGAAATTATGGAAGAATTGTATGGAAAATCGAAACAGCAACAGTTTTATTTTCCCCATACAAACTGTACCTGTCAACTATATCTGTGTAGCCTGTCCAACACTATCGCCTGGTTTCTGATACACTGATCATCGTAGATGTCAACTAATCAGCCGTCAAATGGCTTTTCAAATTTCATTATAGTTGCCAAAAGGACGGTTAAACTCTCTGAATTAACCAGAATGATCTTCTAATGATCAGAACGATGAATCCAAAGAGTTTAACCATCCTTTTGGAAACTAAAATTAAATTTGAAAGCCATTTGACAGCTGATTAGTCTACGATGATCAGTGTTTCAGAAATCGGCCGTATGCGTGGGTTCCGAATCCTCTAGAAATAATTTATATAGCAAAACAACGATTGCAGAGTCAGCTAGTATATACATAAAAATATGTATATGAATTGTAGCCTATGTTTTATTCTGATGTATAAGCTATATTATTGTAAAGTTTCATTAAAATCCATTCAGTAGTATTTGCGTGAAAGAGTAACAAACATCCATCCAGATATAAAAACTTTCGCCTTTAAAGATTAAAGATATATATATATATAAACTGAAGTACTTAAATTACCCCAATTTGTGTAATTTCGTTACAAATCTATAGACTGCTATCTCTTTTCGTATCATACGTTCTATATCACCTGTCACATTTACTAAAATGTCACATAACGTAAAGCGCAACAATTATTAAATGACGTGCAGTATGGACCTGCGTCATCTTTGACCTTTTTTTTATGTAATAAATTGGCAAACGATCTGGTGGTTCACCTGATGTTAAGTGATGACCGCCGCCCATGGACATTTGTAACACCCGTAGGGTTGTAAATGCGTTGCCCCCTTTAATTAAAGAGGGCCCGGCCACCTAACTCACCAGACGAAATGCAGAAGTGTAACACTTCTACTTTACGCCAGTCTTCTGTGAGGTTGTACTTACTCGGATGGACCAGCCCATTCGTGCAACAGTGAACACTGTTGCGTGTCCCTATCACGGTTAAAGGCACCTAAAAATCCTCTAAGCTAAGCGATAACTATTCACAAAACGATAATCTAGCTTAACAATGCTTAGCGTTATCTAAATATTCTTCATTTTCATCTTAAGTGCAGAGACTAGCACCGAATATAAAAATTAAAAAATTTATTATTGTACAGATCATAATTTCTATCTAATATTTACTCTACAACTTCATATTGCTAAATGAAACTATTTTCACGAATTTAAATTTTCAATAGTGCTAATCTGTGCACTTAAGATTTAACAATAAAATTTGTACAAAAAGTACGTTAATGTTTAATCTTAATTGCAGAGATTAGCACTATGGAAAATTTTAATTTCTAAAAAAGCAACGGCGACTCTCGTTAGAATTATCGTTGTAAAACGATATTCAAAATTGTTTGCATGCTGAAATGGATATAACAATGGATGCGTCAAGCATTGCTTCAAATGCTATAAAAACAGTGTAGATAGAAGACGTTAAAATTTTCGTCTGTGTGGCAATCAACCGTTTAGCTTAGTGGCTAAAGCGTCAGGCCGTGAGTGCCGAAGACGTGGGTTCGATTCCCACAGCGGCGACAATCTTTTCGTACTTTTTATACAAATTTTAATATTTTTACGAATTTATCGTATACGTTAATTCGCATGTATAACACGATTAATCCGAATCAACTCGCAAAGTAGGTACACACTGAAAGGTTATTTCATTACTTTCATTAGATTCTATATATAATATGTTATACACAAGAAATAAATTATTATGATTTAAATATGATGTTTATATACACCACAAATCTGCTAGGCGATTATATTCGTTCTAAGAAAGGTACCCTTGAAATTAAATTTAATATTGTTTGTGAATACCTTCATTTCGTCTACGGATATAAAGCAGTCTTCGCGAGGGAAAATAATAGAAATTCGGGACGAATATATTTCGAGTAAATCAGACTTATTCCTGTTCGTAATACAGGTGAGTCTGCCTCACCGCTCCCGGCTTTTGAAATTGCATATCTAATAAGCTGAGAATGATAAAGCATTATGCAAATCAAATACACGAAATGGTGGCTTATGTATTTCAATTCGAATGCCACAGCGTACTGTAATTTATTTAGAAGGGTACCATCATTATCACAGCAGTAGAGTACCATTTAACATCTTTCAGAATATTTAAAATACCGCAATTTAATAACTTTTTCCACTACTAAGTCTAAACTTAAATAGAACCCATTACTTTATACCTTAAAGCTTATATGTAAATTAAATGTTGTTTTGATAATTATATTGTTGGCAACACTAAAGGAAGTGTCATATTATGTGGTGTAAATGAAGCTGCACGAAGCATTTCATGGTCTGGTTTTTTTCTGTCAACAAGAAGTATACACGTTAGTGCTGCCCAATCGTCATCACAAATTAAATCGATTCGTAGTTGTGATTCTTTAGTCTAAAAGTATAAGTAATTAACTATACCAAGGTTATTGCTGTACGAAGTAAAAAAAAGTCATTTGATAAAAGTATTTATATTTCTACCTTCTTAGCTCGATTAAACAAAGTAAAGCAAATAATATAGCTTAATTTTAATGGTTATAGATTTGTAAATGTAATCCGTTGCATCAGATTTATTTCCATATGAATATCGAATGTTTACAAATGATGGGATGAATAGATATCATCTTCAGGGTAGAAGTCAAACAAGCAAGCAACAATAGCAAGTTATACTATTGTAGCGGAGGTATGCAATGGATTGTGCTTGGTTGGGGAATATTATGGCCAAAAATAAAACTGGCGTAAAGAAAAAGTATTTAAATTGCTTCTTTTCTGTCAACTTCTTGATCGTTATGCAAATGTTAACCTGTATCAATATTCAACTTACTTAGTGCGCTTTTATAATATCATCATCATCCTGCTCTTATCCCACCTGGATAGGGTCGGCATGGCCTGTGAATTATTGTAAGTGGTTTTGGTTAGGCTTGTTTTTTTTACTATTGGCCCCCTACCCCATGTCAAACCTCCTTGAGAATAAATACACAGATCTATAACAATTATATATGGGTTATACGAATGTTAGTCCCGTATGGGAATCGAACCCACGACCCCCGACGCCGAAGCCAATATCTTAGTAACTGCGCTATCGAATCATCAGGGTGCTCGTTTTACATTATTGGCAATTGGCCTGTTAAAAGAAATATTTTCAATAAAGTCTCTTAGACTGTCTTTGGCTGTAAATTTTCAATTTATATGAATGCTTCGTTCTTCTTCTGCAGTGGTGTGGCAAGAGTGGCAGGTGCATGTCACTTCGACTTCGGCGGAAGTCGGTGGACCGGCGTTGCTCACGTGCGTGGCACCGCCCGCGGTACGAGAGCACGCGACCGTGGCAGCGTGGTACAGGGACGACGCTGTTCTAGCACCGGGGGACCACCTATGTGAGTTTTGTAGTAACTATAATGACTGAGCACTCAGAAGACGGGAAGCAAGATTTGTGAGTCTTTTATAATTACCACGTTTACCATGAAACATAACATCTGTACTTAAAACCAAGTGAGATGGTAGTGAAGCACTGGTCAGTCCTTGAGTAAAAAACAGTTCCTTACTCTTCTTCTTTGTGCCGCACAAATGAATTGATATCACACACGCTAACAAATAGGGAGATTCCATCATTCCGATTTTGTGTCTATGATTCGAATAAAAGAATGATAACATTGTAATTTGGGTCACACAAGGTTTTTGATCACGAACACTGCTGCGTGAACCCACCACAGTAATAGATACTATTACTATAACACTTAACATTCACTATGACAGACGGTCTTTCCGAACCGTTACTACCCGGGAACCTTCAAGAAGAAAGCATACTCTTTCCTAAAAGGCCGGCAACCCATTTGTAAGCCCTCTGGTATTGCAGATGTCCTTAGGCGACGGTGAGCCTCCTACTCGTTTGTCCCTTTTCTCCATAAAAAAAGAGAGACTATAGGACTCCAGGCCGCAGAACTTCTGTTCAAGACGATATATATATATATAGGGTTCATTATCTGTCATGTTTTTTCAATAACTACTGATCCATAGTTTCAGTCTTAAAAGGCTTGGGATGTGTTAGTGTTAGTGTTTGTGTGCAAGGACTAATAAACGATATTTTCATTTAGCTGGACCAACTTTGTTGGTGGACGAGGGCTGGCGTTTAGTGGTTCGGTCCGTGCGCGTCGACGACTCCAGGGCTCAGTACTCCTGTTCGGTCCTCGACTCGCTGACCGGCGAGAGGCGGAGAAGTACCCCCGTCAACATAGACGTGGCCCGTGAGTATCGCTTCAAGGCCATGCAAGAGTTATATAAATAAAAACTGATATACATGCTTATTAAAACTTGTAGTTAAGAATGTCACAATTATTTAGTGCAAGTCTAAAAGGAAACGTTACAATTTAAGTAGTCTAATGTGAATACGTGGCCCTACGGCGGCGCCTGGTGAGTGTGGTAGCCGGAGCCCAATTTTCAAAAGGTTGTCAACGCACCTGTAACCCTCGGGTGTAGCAGATGTCCATGGGCGGCGGTATTCACTTACCATCAGGTGAACCGTCTGCTCGTTTGGCAACTTTTGGCATAAAAAAAAAATCTGCGGGGTCAAAAAAAAGTCTGCGTGGTCCTACCACCGTAAAAAAATTAATCAAAAAACATTTTAAAGTAGCATACGAGTACTCTAATACGTCCAACCTTTCTTTGAAACATACGCCCAAGTACTAGTGAGTACTATACATGTCAGTGAATTAAAATAACTAAAAAAAAAAGTTTCATATATGTGCGCGTACTGTTTCAGAATCAACACTTTCACAGCAGACGGACATTTTCAAAAATTACTAGTTACATTCAAAACATGGTATAAAAATTTGGTATAAATACATAATAGGGACTATGTTTTCTGTATATATATTAGTTCTCTAAAGTCGATAAGTCAAAACATTAGTCGGTTTTAATGAAGCCGTAGTTTCAAATTGCAACTCTCACTCAGAACTATTATTGCTACTACTAAGGTTGCCTGTAATAAATTGCTATCTTAGCAATAAGGCCACCTGTATGTACAATATTGCTTCCTGTCTTTTCTTTCTGTGTATTTCTTGTGTGCAATAAAGTATATTCCATTGTATTACATTCAGTTATTTCGAAACCTGCAGATAACTCCCGACCAGCACAATATCCGTAGCTAATTTCATTACAAACCGTCCTTAAAAATACATAATTAAAATTATCCTAAAGTACTGTTCAAGTCTTCTCTTTAGCTTAGTGCTCCATAATACTAGTTAAAGATCATTAATCTACGATTCCGTCGTTACAGTGTCTAAGATTGCGTATCCTTTGCAGCGATGAGTGTAGCGTCGGCGCCGCGCTCTATCTTCCACGGCACGTGGGAGGCGAACGTGCGGCGCGGAGGTGACGTAATATTGCCGTGCCTTGTTCACTCGAACCCACCGGCAACGATCAGGTAAGCTTCTTCAAGCCTAATTCAAAATAAGAATATTCAGCATCATCGGTTCAAAGTATTTGAATCCATTGCTGCTAGGCCCGTCCCACCGGCTGTCCCGACCCATTTGCACCGAATGAAAATGCACGGGTTTTGTTTAATACCGACGTTTGGTATTAAATTTGAGTGGTGCACACTAGTAGGAATGTTAAATAAAACCACACTGTGTACTGATCTAAGGCTCGATCTACCAATCTATTTTACTGGGTATCGGATGACAACATATTGCAACTTTGTTCCGCCTTATGTACTATGCCCTATGTACATACCATTGACAATACCTCCAGTGACAATAATACAAACTCGATACATAACATTGACTTAAGACTGAATTGGGAACATACCGCCCACCATGCCTTAGCGTAACTCGTGAACATACCGCCCACCAAGGACATTACTGGCAGTAATGTCCTTGGTGGGAGTCCGTGGTGTCCACTGTATCTAATGGGAGAATCTCAGTTATCTCCATCATCAAATCTTACATAGAAGACCATAAGGACGAAATATTTTATAAATACATTATCGATAGAAAATATGAACTATAAAAAATGGAAGAACAATCTACGTGTAGTGATTGGATGCTCATAGCCGAAATTTAAAAAATGTAGCAATTTATTAGAACACTGTATCGGCGTAGTTGGCACTTGAGCTATGAAAATGTTGTGTCACTTTGTTTACCACAACAGATAAATCATACGCTCCACTACAACCGTAGGGAGTGGATGTATCCTGGTCGCGTCAATGCTTCCAAACCTTATTCCTTCGCACTTTATATAGTGACATAACATTTGCGAAGTCTGCTGATGCTAGGAAGATACTATAAAACATTAACGTTCATTCAGTCCTCTGAAATCATATATTATATTCTTAATGCCCCTTGTGCCGCTGCTCCTTGCAGCAGTTAGCTCGATAATATTTACAGATTTACACACATTGTCGGTCTGAGGCTACTATGGATTTATTTCCATGTGCGATGCCATGGTAAATAACTATTCAACGTAACGTATAAAGTGCAGTTTTAATTGCCGATGCAATTACATACATGAGGCTTGTTAAACCTAATCCATGGTTTACGGAGCATTACGATCTGAAGAAAACAAGCTCCGGGTAATGCCGACGCGATCGAGATAACATTTTTTTTATGTGAGTAAGTGGCAAGTAAGCCGACGGTTCACCTAATGCAACACCCGTAGAGTGCAGAAGCGTTGCAACCTTATAATGAAGTGGGCATCGGCTACCTCACTCACCAGACGAAACGCAGAAGTATAACAGCAGTCGCCAATAACCATACTATAACAATATGTGAACAAAAAAAGTTTGAGCTAAGAAATTAACCATTATCATGGTCCTAGAAAAGGGGAAAAGGAGCCGCATACATCAGTGGGCAGAACGCAATAAAATCATCGTCTGAAATTCTGTAAATGCTAACGAAATCGCGAAAATCTGAAGTACCAGTGAAGTAAATCTTCGTGATGTCATCAAGCGTTTGCCGACCTACCTTGCTCTTGCCACGAGCTCAGTGTAAGGATTTAAAGAGTAAATTTCAATCATCAAACATCGAAATACAACAGTTGAAGAGTTTCATCATTTTTAAATAAATAAACATACTTCTGTAGTAGTGCCAAAGCTATAAGGAAACTTAAGCAGCGAATTAAACTTAAATGCATAAATATCGTAAACACTCATTGACGCTCCTTAATTTATTAAGTTCTTTGAGAATGTTCCAAATAAATAAAAACAGCAGCTCTCAGAAGAGCGACGAGAAGCGTTAAACAAAAAGTAAAAAGACTAGACACTTACAGTTTCAAGTTTTTAAGCCGGCCCCGGAGTCTCCGTGCATAAAAAAACGAATAATTTAGAGAATATTACCGTGTAAGAAATAGAACTGATTTTCATGTTTAGACAAGGTCGTCTGTTCGTTTACGAATAATTTTTTATAAAACCAAATAATACTAAGAGTCGATTGGTCAGATTTGTTATGTCTATATATAAAAATTTCATATCATCAAAACAAACTTCTAAGAAGTTATAACTTCAATAATGTTTACTTGCCATAAGTGACCATTCGGCTAGTGACATCTACTCGTTAACCAAACTATCGGCATTAGACTCCACTGCGTTCATAACCTCTTGAGATTTGATTTTTAAGTAACACGCAAAGACTCTCTCGTATTTCAACTCGGTGTGTTTGATCTAAGCGGTATCGATGGTACCACCTTGATGGTGCAGAGAAGACACTCGGTGCCCCAGACTTGATCGAAATTCTTGAAATTGGAATTAAAAAAAAACGTATAATCAATGTTGAATCAGTTTTCGCTAGTGATATTTCACCACCGGTACCGCTTATGGACCGTCAAGAAAAGTGACTATTTCCACTTTACAGGCCGGCAACGCATTTATAATCTCTCCTATGGTGTTGCAACTTTTCAAGCAGGACGATAGTCACTTACCATCATGTGAATGGCTTGCTCATCTGCCTCCTTTTTCATCCATAAAAACATGGAAAGGTTACGCCGACCCGCTTTGCTTACGTTGCGAATCAAATTATTCGAAATAAGGCCATTGTGCGTCGTAAAGGTGAGCTAGAAACGTTTTAACATAATATACAAGAATGGGAAATATTCTCGCTGTATTTTTATTAATTTGGGCTGTTTAATATCGTTATTTTTTACTTCTTTAAATACATAGCCTTCTATGTAGACACTTAATTCAGAGAAGAAAGACGTGGCATTCGATTTCGTTAACCCCTTTTTTTTTTTTTTTTTGCAAATATGAATACTATATTCTTTTTCACTGTATATAGAACCACCTGAAATAAAGCACGGAAATGGGCAATCTAAGTGACTTTTAAAGGGCTTCATAGCCTTTTCAATCCTTATGTGCTCCTGATTAAAGTTAGCTAGTAAGTTATGCGTTTTTACTGGTGAAAGCCAAAATGGAATAGCAGCTTTTAGGCAGTGAACGCTAATGAAATACTGAAGCTACACGTTCATATGAGTGATTGGTAATAAATAGCATCACAAATCTCGCTGCGATTATCAAGCGCCGTCAAACAAAAATAAACTTATTTGTTTGTTCAACTAATTCCACATGCCTAAAACCGCCTCGCGGTACGGTTTATAAGCCCCGCGCCGTCGCGGTATAGTTTTTCGTTATGTCATGATGACACGATGATAGACGATAACGACGGTTCCGAATACAATGACGCGAGCAATCTTCAAACGCACTTTTATGTTTTCGTGGCCTTTAATAACCTTATCAAAAGTTCTAAACTTTTATCTGTCTAACTATGAGCTGTTACATTAATCTATCTACTACTAATCTCAAGCATTTTTTTATCTTAATGAAGCCTACGATGGAAGATCTTTTTACACGTCCAACCCAAAGTGGCATCAAGGATGACTAAAGTTAAGGCGTTACATAATCTACTAAATGAAAACCTCGCTAAAATATTAATCCTGGAAGTTCAGCTTCCAGGACACAATTCAGCAAGACACAATGTCGTTTGGATAATTAATTGTAATCAAACAAACCTAATAATAAAACAGTTAATTAATTAAAATATTAACATATTGTAAACAGCGATTCATGCTATATATTTTTTAAGTTTTATTCAACAAACAACAATACTCGCAACGATTTATTACCTGTATTTTGATTTTCAATTATGATTTTGACATTCAGAATTATGATTTTGATTTATTCTAAATAAATGCAATGAATGAATTTTACTCTGTGTCAAATCTGTTTTTTTTTTTTGTTGGTTTGAATGTTTAAAATTATATAAAATATTAACGAATACGCTTCATCACTATATCAGCCATTTCCACCGCAAAAGACTTTTTCAAAGTGTATTATTACCTTCGTTACTGTACATATCCGTGGAGCCAATTAGCCTTTTGCGTTTTATTTTTCCGATATATTCGTATTTTTGTAGATTTTTACGGTTGTAAATGATGGTTTATTATTTATATATACGTGCATTATGCATCCCAAATACAACTGCCGCAAAAAGGGTGAAAACTAATATAGAGTTGTTATTATTGTTTTTTGGTATGTGTGTGTGATTAATGTCTTATGAGCGGTGGCGAGTAAATAAATAGCACGGCTTGATGGATATAATGTCTATTCCACTGCACACGAACCAATTTACAATTTGAAGGAGAAAAGAATTATGAGGCACAGAATAAACATAAAGAAGAGGCGGAAAATAAGCTAAGCACAGTGTCTAAGAATAGCGATGAGCGTAAGCAAACTATCACTCGCGTCAACTCGATAGGTTTAGGGTTCCGTACTCAAGGCGTAAAAGGGGAACCTATTACTAAAACTTTGATGTCTGTCTGTCTGTGCGCCTGTCACCAAGCTGTATCTCATGAACCGTGATATTTTCACGGATAATGTATTTCTGTTGCCGCTATAACAACAAATACTAAAAATCTGGAAAAAAAAATTAAGCAGGGCTCCCATACAACAGATTTGTTTTTTTTTTACTTTTAGGTTATCTTTAAAACTAGCGACCCGCCCCGGCTTCGCACAGGTGCAATTTATTATAAATCAAAATCAAAATAAAATCATATAACCTTCCAATAGAATCACTATCTATTAAAAAAAGCACATCAAATTCCTTTCCGTAGTTTTAAAGATTTAAGCATACATAGGGACAGACAGACAGCGGGACGACTTTGTTTTATACTATGTTGTGATGGTACGGAAACCGGTTTCGTGTGCGAATTCGACTCGCACTTGGCTCGTTTTTACCGAGAAGAGTTTCATTATTTTCTAGAGAAACATCCATGGACATCTGCAACACCGTAGGACTTTTAGGAAAGAATATGCTCGCTTCTTGAAGGTTCCCAGGTCGTAACGGTTCGGAAAGACTGCCGGAACATTGAATATTTTGATGAATGACAGACGATTTTTTCTCAAAATGAAATTAACGTAAGAGGTTATCAAATCGGCATC